GTGTTCCTGCCGAGATAAACAACAGGGATTAAATCACTTGTAACTTCCTGTTAAGCAGAAAAATACAAAACAGGGTACACTCTTGCCATTTTGGATTTACTTATATGAATTTCTACATTTTTGAGAGTTAGTGGGACTATTTCAGTTTTTTACTTTAACCTCACACATACCATGTCCTTGAACTTCTGAATTAATTCATGTTTTAAGACCAAAGTCTATGTGAACCAGGAAAAAAAACAACCAACCAACCAACCAAAAAAAAAAAAAACCCAACAAAACCCCCCCAAAAGTCTAAATAAACCAAACCAAACTAAAATATCCCCCTTACCCAAATGTTGATTATTACTGTTAATTACTGAATTTTTTTTTATGTAGACCAAATGTTTATATAAAATTTTATTTATATAGACCAAATGTTTTATATAGACCTGAATGTTTTTAAATGTATGACTCCTGTAGCATAGATTTTTTTTTTATTCACTTTGAATATTTAAATTAAAAAAAATATTTATTTGCCATTTTCATCTGCTTTGGCCTGCCAAATCTGTTAAAACTATATTTGCCATATAGGCACTTACAAGGCTTATAGAGCTGGTTAAATCTTGAGATCAAGGGTTTTCTGAGTGTACTAAAGGATGAGGTCTGTGGTGAAAACAAAAGGATTTTTGGTTCCATTTTAATCACTGTAATGGAATTCACTTCTGGGCCATCCTTTCTGAACAGAGACAATGAGAATGGGATTTAGGAGTAATATAACACCCCTAATCTGACTTAGTATTCCTATTTTTGTCCCCAAAGATATCCCATTAAAATCTTTGGCTAGAACACTGCTCTGAGTAATTCATATTCCTCTGGCTACACAGGACACCCACAATTAATTTACGAAACAGAATATTTTGTCTTTAATATGCATGTAATACAATATTTAGACTTGCAAATTTACTTTTGTCTGTATTTTACTGTAGTATGTGTTTTAAAATTCACTCAATTGCCTCACTTGCCAGATGAGATTTTCTTAGTTTGTCACTTTTTTTTGTTATTTAGTAGTTCTCCAGTTCCCGTGGCAATAAAAGATTTATCATTACCACTTGGTTTTTCATTTTGCTTTCCAGATCATCAATAAAAGTCTCAAATAATCTTGAAATATTACAAGGCCCTATAGGATTGTACAATAATCATACATCCTTAGTGATAATTTTCCTAATTATGCTTATACTCTGAGATTTGTTGGAACTTCAACAACTCTCATAAGATGCCTCTATAGCTTCTGCAAGCAGTTCATTTTCTTACTGAAATGTTACAGAGCAGAGTCATATATTTACAGAACCCTGCAAGTACTTTAATACAACAGTGTAACTTCTGTAATGCAAATATTTCCTTTCTAAAATGTGAAATGTCACAAATTTTATTAATGGGACTCTTTGGTATTATAACCTTGTTCAGAATTGCTTTTGGGTCAAAGAAAGCATTTCACTTAGCCATCAGTACTGGTCCTGAGAGGTATTTTGGCAACTGAGCACTAAAAGATCTAAGGGGGAGGCCAAACTTCCCAAAGCTATGCAGGGAAGCTGTGGAGCTGAAGGCTCCCAAGTACCTTTCAGTTGATTTATACCCAAATCATTCCCCCATGCGCATATACCATAGTAGTGGTGCACAAATTTTCTGGGAAAATAAAATGCCACCAGCAGAGGAAATGCTTTTGATACCAAAGTCTTAGTTCAATAAGCTTCCATCAACATTAAGAACCTGCAAATCTAGAATATTGGTGTATCTACTGCAGTCTCAGAACAGAGGTGAATTAACCCTTGCCACTCATTCAAATAAACACAGTTGCCAGGAATATTTGCTGCCTCTTTAATTGAAATTGAAAGACAATAATGTGTCATTCAGCTCATGGGGTTTGTGGTTTCAGGGTTTTTGAGACAAAAATTTGAGAGAATGGTATAAGTTTCAGCCAAAAGAAGAAAAGAAACTATTACACTACAACACGGCAGGAAAACAGTAATTGTACTTTTTGGAGGGGAAGATAGTATACAGCTAATAACCTTGTCATTCAGCTGGAAGACCTAGTAAGTATATACGACAGCATTTTCCAGTTAGAAGATGTACTTATTTTCCTCTCAAAGAATAGCTTTATAAAAAGTGCAGCAGAAGAGAACAATTCTTCTAAACAACTTTTATCTTTATTTATAATGTGAATCAATTTAGCTTTGAAGCACTATATGGATTTCTGTTTAATAAAGAATTTATACTAGATCCAAGTCTTGCTTAGTAGAGGACCAGCACTGAGACTTGTGAACTTATATGGAAACAAAATTTCTTCTTGTACATTTAAGGAGACTGAATTGAGAATAACAAAGTCCAAATAACAAATGAGCTTAATCATTATTTAATTTCTACTATTTCAAGCATAGTGAAAAGTTTGAAAAAAGTTTGTGTACTTTTTTGATGTTGGACCTACCTTTAAAGCAATTAAGAGGGATCATCTTTATTTTTAGTTTTCTAGTCATAAGTCAATAATGCATAATAATAAGAAAAAAAAGGAAGAAAAAGACAGGAAAGAGAAATAACTAAGTATGCTGAAATTTAAAGACGCAACAAAATATAAAACCTTACTAAGCCAATATATTTGTAAGACTGAGACAGAAATATAGAGGAGGATGCATGTTCTCTGGCTGAAAAAAAGTGTTTACATATATATATATACACAGAGATAGGTGTATATATATACATATGTGTGTGTGTGTGTGTGTATATATGAATATACAAACACTAGATATATATTGTATATATGGTATATATGTATATGGCATATTGTAGAAAATTTGCCAACACATTTTGTTTGAAAAACTGTCTGTCGTGCTGGCAGTTCCTGCCCATGTTTATGCCACAGATCTCAGGAATAGAGTACCTTATCATACAACTGGCCCTGGGAATATGTCACAATATGAATTGAGGTGAAAAAGAAGTCTGCTCTTTAACTGAGTGTAATTCATTAAACAGTCTGTGTTTTGTTTCAATAAATACTATTTTGTAGAAGTATGGCATGGCTTACACAATGAGCAGGGAGCAGAGCAGCAGTACCAAGGAGCTTTTTTTCGTCTTAGCTAAGTAGTTTGTCTTTCAGGTAGCATATAAATGTCTAATAAAACTTTTGAATTAAAAGTGCTGCATAAATTGGCTCTGCTAATTCAGAGGTGAGTGGCATTCTCCTGTTCTTACACAGAGGAGCAAGTGGATTTTATGGAAGCATTGAGATTTATCTGAATGATCTCGTTGCAGTAGTGATTAAAATATTTTTTGTTGGGCACTGTACAGCACTTAAGAGATACATGTCTGGAAAGTGACTCCATAAGCTGAAAATAAATTCAGTATATAGGTTGAAAATATGAATGCAGTATCTTGTTAAACAACAAAGCAAACACATTTTTGAAGCTATAAAACAACTGAGTCTGTTTCTAACTAATTAATATCTTCCTAAAGAGAAAGTACTATCTGATTATTAAATTAAAGAATCTGAGACAGTGAGGTTTTGGCCAGTGTAAAGAAGTCTTCCTAGATTGAAGCATGAGTAATGTACAAACCTGTACAAACTGGCATTTTGGATGAGATGAGGTTATAAAAATTATTAACATTTGTAAGAAGCTGGGTTTTTATAGGTGATGGTGTTCATATTTATCTGACAGATAAACTGAAATGAATCTGAATGGGGAAGAGAGCACTTTGTTTGTGTGTATATGACAGTTGTACCACCTCGTATTTAAATACTGTATGACAGCACTTGTACATTTGATAAATGAGAGACATTAACATTATTCAGATAACTGCTCAGCACCGCTCAACAGAGTGGAGTAATGTTTAAACAGATCTCTATTGTTTTCTTCTAAAAAATGCAGATATCATTGCAATCTCTATAGTGAGAAATAAAAAGGAGTCAGAGAACAATCTTATTTATTGGAACTGAATAATCTACACTGCTTAGGCCAGTACCAGCTACCCCTTTGTTTTATTTTACCTCACTTTTATCAGTTCAACCCAAGTAATACCTTGATGTCCTTTGGAAACAGTTATCTCCAAGCTAGCCCTGCCTCTGAATGTACTAGTTTGGTCTGCTGTCCCTTGGACAAGCATTTGATATCATCCCAACAATATTTTTTTTTAGGTTCTACTACATTTCTGTTTGACACACTCAGAGCAGAAAAGGGTGTTTTGGATTCACCAATATAGAACTGCAACACAGCTCTCACACTATTTCAGATATTTCAAATGTGAAAAATTCACATAAAACAATAAATGTATCTTAAGTGTCTGTAGACACCACATGGGTCTTTAAAAGATCCAGATCCAGCTGTTAAGTAGCACAGTTGCTGTCTGCTCCAAGTGGGCCTATAAGAAAGGGGCAACAAACATTTTAGTGGGGTCTGTTGTGGTAGAAATAAGGGCAATCGTTTTAAGCTGAAGGGGGTTTGATTTAGACCACATATAATGAAGAAGTTTTTTGTAGTGAGGGTGGTGAGATGCTGGAACAAGTTTCCCAGGAAAGTAGTAAATGACCCAGCCCTGGAAATATTTAAAATCAGGTTGGGTTGGGGCTCTGAACAACCTGATCTAGTTGAAGATGTCCTTGCTCATTGCAGGGGAATTTGCACCAGATGGCCTTTAAAGGTCTCTTCCAACCCATACTTTTCTATGATTCTATGTACTTAACCACTCCACTTGGCCTCTGGGCAAGAAATTGGTGATTTTCTTATATAGTAATAAAGACAATTTGTGGGTTTTTAATTAAAACTAAACAATACATCTCCAAATGCCATTCTTTTAAATCTATCTGTAAGTCAGTGTTAAAGAAAAAAAAATTTAAAAATTCAGGATTCTCATTCTGTTGATCCTGAAATTTCCTTTTCAAATCAGATAATTACTAGGGACTTACGTGAAATTTTGGGTACTCTCTGAAGCTCTCCGCATGTACTGCTAACTTGCACACTATATCTTGTCTTCAGCTGTTGCAGGGCAAATCATTTCCAAAATATGACAAATGGGATCTCCAACAAACAGGCAGTGGTGGAGGTGTAGATGAACAAATCAGTGGTGATTGTGATGATGAAGATGGTTGTGGAGGATCTGGAAGTGGAGAATTCAAAAGAGTCCTGAAAATAACAGACCGTAAGTCCATGATTCTGTTTCCTTTATGCATTTGTAGAGTGAATTGGTATGTTTCCCACTAATACATGTCACTGAATCATCTCATAAAATATGTGAAAAGTTGCCTGTGTAGTGCTCCAAGATTTACAGGAATAGGCCTGCAATTATAGGATTTCTGTGAGCACAGTATCAATGAGTATCAGTTTTATCATAACACATGTTAAAATACACTTGGCACAATATAGACTTAACACAGTATTTTAGTCAAATAGTAGGTATAAAGTGGCATGTCCCTCTGGGTTATTACATTAACATAAGAGATTTGGCAGTTAAAAAGAGAAACTGTACTAATTTTTGATAGAACTGTGGCAAACTATGAGGTTGAGGGCAGGTAGCTGCATTTCATGGAAAACTATTGGAATCAACGTCCTAAAACACTCAACCATTATGCCACTGTTGTTTCTCATACGTCTTTCCACTTTTCTTACAGTCTTGTTTTTGTGTAGTTTGGGGTCTTATTTGGTTGCATTGTATTTTTGTTTTGTTTATTCTCTGAAACACATTTGTAATAATTTTCATTAAAAATCCTGTGGCTATGCACTTGATAGGTGTAGAACTCTAACCACAAGCAAAGTAAGTTACTACTTCTCTGAATCATGACATTTTTCAGCTCATCTGATTTCTCTTCTTATATCTCTTCGAGTGTAGAAATATAGCAGAGATGGTGGCAATAGATAAATATTTTCATCTAAACTCCATTTCTCCATTTTGAATTATTTTCCCTGCATTTTGTGTTATCTGTATTCACTGAATTTGAGGGTGTTGCATGTTTTCAGGCTTAGATGTGAACCCCAGGTTCTTTTTGACTTGACAGTAAAGAGGCAATTAAAAATGTGGCTGTAGAGATCATGTAGTTTCCCATTTCTTTTTGAACTGCTGGAAAAATGTGACAGAACATTCTGGGTTATGCCTTAACAATTCAGTTTGAAACCAGCCTAAGATCTTCTTGCACTGACACTTAATCTATACATTTTCAAGTCCTACTAAAAGTCTAGATGGGATTTTGAGCAATATCTAAAAAAGTTTGGACACTTCCTTCCTTAGAGTGCCCTTGGAGGTTTAACTTTAGAGAAAGAAGTTAGGAGTTCAAATATTTAAAAGCAGATGTTCTTTGTAATACTACATATATCTTATATCTATTTGATAATGACACACTGTGGTATTGAAGTACTGTAAAATAGCCTTAGAATGTGACTAGAGCTATTAAGAAAGTATTAAATGACAAAAGAATTTCAAGAACAGTATACTTCATTTCACTCTCTTCTACTGTGTTAGAATTTTCTTAATATTGATATATTTAGTGCAATCTTTTCAAGATGTCAAAATTATAATTAGCCTTCATATCCTCTTTATCCTACATCTTCTAAATTGCCAGAATTATAATCTGTGTGCTAGGCATAGTGAAATTTACATGAATCCTGTTTCATTTGAACATTTTCTAAGATATTATAGAACAAAAATATGAACCCATAATTTTTGATATTTTGACTTGTGCATAAATCTTGAGCTACTAGTACCTCCCGCAAAATCACAGCCTCCCATGTTGTGATTTCATGGATTTAAGCTGGCATGCATTCCCTTTTTGGAATTCAACTTAAAAGTTGTCTTTAATGTGTACCAGAAGGAGTCCTACTTTGTTCTGAGGCATCAGATTTGGGCTGTCCAACAGAACAGTTAAAACATTCAATTTTGTAGAATTTTATTACAATATAGATCAATTTTTTTTTTTTTTTCAGAAATCACTTGTGTCTTTAAGTATATGTTAAAGTGTATGTTTAAGATAAATGAAACAGGTGTTTGAAAAATTCTTCTACTGAATCACTGATATATGAGTAAGACTTTGGGAATTTAAAGTTAGATTTAAAGTAGAAACCAATATATTTTAGTAAGAAAACAAAATTATCTTCTCAGGATTTAAGATTTTATGTGAGGAACTAGAGTTGAAAAGAAATAAACATAATAAGAATTGAGGCTTAAATTTTTAATATCTATATCTTACATATACTTATGCAATATATATAATTTTGTGTAATTTTCTTAGATTTGGGTGACTGGTATCAATTAAAAGCTAAGTAAGATTTTAAACTCCTTTTTTTTAAATTGAAGAGATGGATTCACTATGATGATATTGCTTACAGCTACTTGAAAATGTGTCTGAATTTCAGGCAAGCGTACAAGTTGACCACAATAAATTTGATATTCAGCACTAGCTTCTCTACAGAGTCATAAAGTTAGAATTATTTTTCCTTATCAAAAAACTTTCTGCATTCTTTTACTTCTGCACAACTTTGCTTTCTCTCATAACCAGCCAGGAAAGAAAGGGGGATTGCTGTGTATTTTTTGTCCATAGTTGAGTCTAGAAGTCCTAGCCATAGCCCAGGCTCTCTTTTTGGCAGCTTCTGCAGACATTTTCACCAAGGAGATAATCCTGTGTGCAACAAATCAATTATCTTAATAAGCTATTAAAGTATGATACAGAACCAGCCCCTTTTATTACATTGCTGAGTATAAAAATAAAGACACTTCCACCTTTTTTTTGGATGCTATGTCGTTGCCTTTTGGATGTGTGCCTGATACTCAAACCCAGAAGGAACATAGAGGAAGGGAAGGGATATACTTTTGCCAAACAAACTTTTACCAATTTTATGTGTACGTGTAGCTTGTGAAGTGGAAGATTACCTGTTCCCACATTCAGTGTTAGAGATGTAAGAATTTATTTCATTTGTTGCTGAAGACTGACAAATGTGTGCTGACAGCCTTTGGGCTTTAGAAGGCCAGTGAAGAGATCTGGTATTTGTAATATAGAAGTGATAGCCTTGCATTACAAAAATGTTTAAAATGTGTTATATTTTGAAAAAATATAGTTTTAAAAAGAAATCTAGTTTTTCAAAATCTAGATTTCAAACACTCCAATCATTATATTATATTTAATGCTTCAAAGTGCTACAATTGTGCTGACTGGTTTGCTCTTTCAAAAGTAGTTTTAAAATATGGTAAATCGTGCAGCTATTTGAAGAAATGGTACTAGAAAGGATCGTGTACTTTAAATGTATAAAATAAACAGTAGTATAAAGTCTTGACACTTCATTTGCTAGTTTTATTCTCCTCTAACCTGGGAGCTCCCACAGGACTATTTCATGCGCCACAATGAATTACCTCTTTGAAACCCCCTGCGGAACGCAGCAGTAATAACAACAAATACTTATCACCTACATATTGATTTGAATCTGTTTTCAAATAGCTCTGTGAGGAGGGGCCAATCCCAATATCACTCCACTGAGGTTCTCAATACCATCTATCAAAATTCTCATAATACTTGTAGCAAGACCACTGATTCACTGGAAAGTGCTCTACCACTTGTCTGTCTTTCTTTGCTCATTTTAACATGCAACACACATGTTTCTATACTGCAGCCAGAGCTCTCCGAGTGATCTCCCTGATCTCAGGGCTCAAATATGCAGAAATATCGAGGATATCTTTGTGCTTAAGATATATATGAGCAAACCTTGTCTCCCACCTTTTTTTATTTTTAATCTCACCTGATATTCATCCTCTTTGAAGAAAGAAGTCTCCTAAATGTTTTATTTCTCAGGCTTCTTAACCTGTGGATTATTATTTTTTTGTTCAAATCATGCTGGAGAGGTAAAATGCCTTGGAAAAGGCTTTATGTTGTGATCTCTGTATAAATAAACCAGTCCGTGTCTCTTGCCTGACATTATACTGCATTCTCAAGTCTCAAATGTCCTTTCTCCTCTTTTTACTCCTTCACCCACTTCACTATAGTTGCTTTTCTCATTGTTAAATCTGATTCTGGTGGCATATTCTAGGACCAAAACTACTTAAAGCTGGCAATAAAATCTCCATTATGATGTTTGCCATCTGTTAAATTCTTTTTAACTCTCATCTACATTCTGTTACCTCAGTAAAGTAAGACATCCCTTATGTCTGAGTAGGATTTCAGGTTTTATTTACACACAAGAGTATTCTTCCTAATTCCTAAATGTTAATGTGAGGTGTTATTCAGGTGTCTTTGGAAGGTCTACATAACTTCACTGTTCATAGTTCACTCAGTTCAGAACATCTCAATTCTATTTAAAATTAATAAGAAAAAAAAAAAGTTCTTGCTGTGAATGCCACATTTGGTCTAAATATTGCAATAATAAATTTTAACAATAACATTCTCATAGGCTATTGTTAATTGAGAGGCTGGGGGATTTCACCCTTCCTTTTCACATAAAGACTATCATAATCTGAGCTCTTTTCTCTCATAGCTCTTGTCTTTTGTGGAGCTGAAAATCTTTTGAAGAGAAAGATTTATTGCAGTCAGTAGATTCCTGAGAAAAATTTGCATTTCCAGAATTAGTAAATACTAAGCAAGAATACATATTGTCAACACATATGAAGTTCAGAGATTTTTCCTTGTGCATGATCAAGTGTTGGCACAAAAATACGTGATGATATAAATTATTGAAGCATAAACAGAGACAAAGGATGAACGAGTTCCAAAGATTTCTATGAAAAAAAAAGAAATTCCCCAAACCGCTATTGGGTTTTTAAGCATAGACCTTCACCAGGCAGTGAAGTTTGGACAGATAAAGTTGTCATATGTATAAAAACATGAAGCACTGTGGTGAGTTTACAGGTGCCAAGTGCCACCAAACTGCACAGCACTGTGGGGGCTGCTATGGGAAAATGAACTCCAGCTCAGCCAGAACCAACACAAGCAGTGAGAGAAAAACCAAAAGGATTCCACTTAAAATGCCCTTGAAAAACTGAGAAAAGTTACATTACAACTTTCTTATGCAATATTTTGCAAAAAGGCGTGACCTGCATAATGATATTATGCAGTTGAAAAAAGACAATATTTCAATTTTTGATTGTTTTCTATTTAAAGAGTATCATCTCTCTCTCAGCGCGTTTTCTCATGAATCAACGTTTCTACTTTTTGAGTGATTCATTTA